ATGTGTTCGCTTAAATCTTCTCCTACTACAAAAAAGAATATATGCAACATTTGGATATGGTGAACTAAAAACCGATAGCTTCCTCCACAAGTATTAGCTAATATTGCATAGGGGGTGACTTAAATAACTAGGTTCAAGTGACCATAGATACGCGTCAATAATACTACTGTAAAACGACTTTAAATGTATCAACTTCAAACACAGTTATAAGGGTTAACTTTATACCATATATGATGCGAAAGCATTGTTTCGTTCTAAACACGATAGAACAGAAGTGAGTGAATTTCGACAGCCATTCGTTTCACAGTTAAAAAACTCAAAGTTATTTCAGATAATGGGGCCACATGCACCGTCAAGTGAGTGTTTGGCTGAGGATTGCCTTTTAGGAACGAATTTTGGAATTTTTCAATGCAGATACTTCTGCGGTCCCTAGCACCCTTGGCATTGTTGCTTTCATTAATCTTGATGGTACGTGTAACACGTAACAACTTTCGCATGGTTCGGTATGTTTGGTATATGGCAAAAAGATGCGCTATTGTCAGCGCTGGGGACTAGTTAAAAGCTGTCTGTACAAAAGACAGAGCAGTATCGTCGTTCAGCCAAAGTTAGTGAAATGGCACGTCGTTTTTATTTATTTTATGTCTATGGCCCGCCGTGTAATAAGCAAGCAAGAAAGTAGGAAATTTTAATCACCAGCAATGAAGAGCATTCAGGCATTTATAAGAGTTCAAGAGCATCCCTAAGACAAGCGAAGGGATACAAACGTGTTTATTTATGTCGTTTTTCCTTCTACTCCAGCTAACAGGCACACTGTACTTTCATCCTGTTTAGTTCCCCAAACAGTTTTATATTCAGTACTCGCTGGGGATTCCGCTCATTTAGTTTTCGGGTTGGACGTTAGGTAATTATGATTATGATCCAGAGTCGGCGGAGTTAATTTCGTCATGTACAACACACGACAGTGGAACGCATTCCTACAGCGCGGTCGGAGGAAGTAGAATCCAGAATTTCATATCAATCTGTTTTAAAAAAAAATAACTGTGATGGACATTTATGCAGATGCCTAGAAGTGGATAGAAGAAAGGGGAAAATGTCACACTCGCTGAACTGGAGCAGTTTGTGACTAACCCATCAGCTATCCGCGAAAAACTACAAATAATCCTATGGAAAAGCTTGAAACGTGATTGCATCTGAGAAGACCAAATTGGTTTGCAAATGAGTGTACTTCGCAAACAATATTTAATTTAAATTTTGATGCACATACTTGGCTGTTCTCGCTAGCAGCCGAGAAAAACAAAAGTGTCAACGAGCAGCGTAGGGGATGATTGCTCTACCTGCTCCCTGTCAGACGGAGCGTTGTGATGCGGTATGACTGCATCTTATCTTGTGGGGGTTATTTGATTCACTCCTAATGTTAACTATGTTCGCGTTCCCTTAATGCAACTGGCACGCCCTAGGAAAAGTTGTTTTCCGTGCAAAAACAGAAATTAAGCGATAGGATTAAATCTTGATGCAATGCGGATTTAGGTTCTGTTCCAACGCAGAGGTACCGGTTGACTGATTGTGCAGCGGTCTTATGTTCCAGTGTGCAGCTACCCCTGCACGAAGTTGTGTTCAAATCAACTAAGCCTTTCGGTCGCGTAACATCCGTCACTATTTCCGTGCTGTATACATCCGATTTTACTAAAGGTACGTGTTTCCACTAACAATGACCGAATTGAAGCCACTAGGTTTTGCCTAAGAACTAATCTCGGCCGGCCCGATGATCCTATTCATTGTTATTATCGACCAAGCTTCTCAAGGCAGGGGAATTAGAATCATCCAGATATTTCTCTCATCTCCGTCCCCGTGATTTCTGTATCGTCCAGCCAATTACCAAACGGTCCCATTTTTACTCCACCTTTCTGCGTATCATATTCGTCGTAACCTATTAAAAATCGTTAAGTTAAAATGAATCCTATCTGGTGCTAGTGTTTGCTGGCAACTAAACCCATGTTTCCGCATAGAGGAAACCGATTGCGGGCCGACTGTCTGCTGGTTCAAATCTGTTAAATCATTGCGAGTAAAGCATTGAAAAACAAAAATTCTATGTACGTAATTGTCTTTAAAGGTCACATTTAAAAGTTCATAAGCGGAGCTATATGAGTATTTTTTATATACGCTTTTTCATTCCAAAGCTACCACTATTTGTTAATCGCCTGCACCCTCGGATATTTACAAATAAAGATGACAACAAAAACCCAAACACGTAAGTATTATTATTATAGAATATGTGGAATATCCGAACGAGCTACGCCTCAGTATCCGGGACCGCAACAGCTCAGAGGTTGAGGCACAAGCTTACAAACCGAAATGTTCGTGACTCGAATCCAACTCCGTGAGTCCGACTGCTCTTATGTGTAGGCTTGGGGAACCTGAAAATATCTCGCCCTCATGCTAACCTCCTCGTGGCAATGCAGCTCGGTGCCCAATGAGTTTTACATCTGATCAGTTATTTTTGTATAGCAACCTGTATTTTCAAGAATACCCGAGTTATCATGGTTTTACTTGTGGGAATAAACAAACAAAAAAGCAGATTGGGTTCCGAATGCTTTCGGGTGATGGTGTTTGTACCAACTTCTGTCCTCCTGCAGTTGGCAGCAGTTTTTTCACTGTTTGTCAACTTGTTCTTTGTCTCTGTGACCCAGTTTCCGGGACAGCATTTCGAAGCATTTCAACACATCTCCCATTCTTGTAAATGCCATCCACTTTTACCCTGTCAGTTGTGTTCTAAGTGTTTGACGCGCCAAACCCTTGTTGCAAACTCTTGCCTTTGACAAATTGTGGACAGCAATGTTACACTGCTGTAGCACCAGGTATAAAGTGTTTTATATTCACTCTGACGTTCAGGTGGATTGCTTAAATTCACTATAAACATGGCTACTCAAATGGATGGCTTGAACTAATAAAAATTTGATGTTCCGAATCAAAACAAACATTATTATCCGGAAACGTAAAAAACAAACAGCTTTAATTCGTGAGACAGTGGGACTCCGGGCTGAAAATGGTATGTTCGCACTACCGGAATAACAGGCAGCACTATTCCATTCCGTCCTATAGTCAGGTTATTATATATCATGGTCAAAGCAATCATGAGAACTACGTCACAACTATTGCATAATGCCCCCCTTGGGACTTCGTCCAATCTGATAAGCCCAGACACTATAAGTGATCTCTTTACATTCCTACCAGAAGAAATATTCTTTGATTTTAGGCAAACGGATTTATACTGTTTTACCGCTCTGAAGTTGCTTTTATCGAAAAAATGGATGTAGGGTATACTTTTTAATGCAGGTAATCACTAGAGATCCATTGGATCTACGGTATTGTGTATGTTTTATGAACAAGAATGCTTAAAGCACTTTAGCTTAAGTGTAAAAAAGGTAGATGTAACGAAACCAAAAAGGCACCGATGAGATTCATGTTAACAATGTATCAGCTACGTTAAGCCAGTTAAGATCTTAAAAACATCGGAGAAAACTTAAGAAAAACTCAAGTAGCGTAATTTTGGACTTTTAAACATTGGTGTAAATCTGACGGGCGAACACCGCTACACGGTTGCCCCACATTCTCTCACGGTTTCAAACAGTTTTCAATCACAGATTGGCTAAAACACATTTGCACTTGGAGTTCTGCGTGGATGAATTTGTTCTCATTAAAAATTTTCTGCGACTTTTTGGCTTACGCACATTTCACTGCATGTCTGAAGGGAGATTATTGACGAGTTGCGCCCCCAGTTTCACTGTAGAACGGTACCTGCTCCAGCCACTAGGAGGATAAATGCAGATATAAAGCCCAGAACCGAAAGTTAAACCGTTATGGTGAGTTTTTACTCGACGCTGAGGTGAGGCATGGTCAGCCATATAACTGTTCCTATCCCTTGTAAGATTTCACCTAGAAATTTAAAGTAACAGAATCCAAACGGCTGACCAGATGTGCCTGTCCACCTGCACCCTACTTTCTACTTGAACCCAAGGGTTGCGATTTGATAATCACTGGTGGATGGCATCGTTAATGGAATCCTGGTTATGCTCTATTGGGACCCATACTACGGTCAATTAAAATTCAGCTATTGTTAGTGTTTATGAAGAGCTTGCTCGCAGCTTTCCACATTCGACTCTTACAAAACGACTCAGTCTGGAACCCATTGCGCGCAACTATCATACACTCCGCAGTAAATTAGGTTGCTCAGGAAAAGTTACTGCGAATGAAATTCATACTTAAGGCTGCAATCTGGATGCCAGACGTAGCTAATTCCACATCATAATTTGAAGTTGATTATTCCGAAGTGGGTTGGTCATTTGAAACTATAGCCGTGTCGCACACACCGAATTACGTGGTCTATGACATTTTTTGTGGACTGCGCAGCGATTCCAGTTTTCCTCTTGCGGTTTGGAGTACAATGAAGCACGGGCAATCAACACCAACTAAATGAAAATTACCGGGTAGACGACATCTTAAATGTGTGTTGTCACCACTGAAGTTTGTGTATACGAGTGGTTTCGGTTTTTTGAAATGCCACGAAGCATGCAGTTGACGACAAACTAGCATAAGTAAAAAGTTTCCCAAAGTTCTTCTACGCACATCATATTCTGCTTTTCCTAGGGTCATTAGGAGTAATCATAAGGTCAAAACAGGCGACAAATCTGAAAATATTCTTGTTTTCCATATAGAAGCACATGGTTGGAAGGCCGTTGTTCATTGAGATGATCATTTTGGCACATCCACTCGCAGGTCTCCTAAACCTAAAAGGCAAACAACCGGTGGTGTTCTTCGTCGAGATTCTGGATCTTGTTTTTTGGTGGATCCGGAATAATTCCTGAGGGCCCTGTGAAGTTACATGAAAAACCGAATAAACTGTACTTATTTCGCTTAACTGATTTATCAAAATCGGTATAAGAGGAATCCTACAACATCAATATAATGTGCTTTCTGGTGCCTTACTGGTAAATTTGACTTACTCCTGGATCAAACTGATCCGCGTGCTTCAATTGTGGTGTCCGTTCATCATCGGTTTTCCAGAGCAGACGACGCCATAGTTTCACCAAAGCCTGCTGATTTGTAGATCGAAGGCAGAGTTCGAACAAATTCATCACGCGTCCATATGCGATTAGAGTCAGGTTTAGGGTGGCAGAGCGCGGAATAAAACTTTCTGGTCCGAAGACAATGGAGGCCTCCATTTGAACTGTTTGCTGATAAAAGACAATAAACATAGGACTTTTGAGGATTTCAGTTTTTCGGTTCTTCATCTTGCGTGTCGGAATTTTAGAAGAAACCATGTGCAAATCTGTTTTTCTAAGATCACCAATAAGTATCAACCGAAAGTGGTTCGCCATTGATACTACATCAGACTGTGGTAAATCATTATTTTTGGTCTCCGTAATTCAGTTCAAGTAGGTAGTGAAACGTGCTACCTGCAGTCAATGAAAATATGTCCACTAGAAATAACTCTCTCATTGCAGTGCAGTTGCATTCAATAGTTTGACCTCGCTTTTACTCTATGGCCAGAACCTTTGCGTATGTAATATCAAATTAATTTTTCATCGACATTTCAGCATCAATAATTTATCTGGCTATCATTTGCCTTTTAGTTGCCGGACACGTTCAGCCTATATTGGGAACATTAACCCGTTTTTATTCGTTTAACCTAATTTAAGGTGGTCAAATCGGTTTTCCAAGGCTCCGAACCGAACAGTTCCACAGAGACAATCCGGATAATCCCGTGGATGGTCAACACAATGCACTTTTATCACAAAGTTCTGTTTAAAATGAAAATTTGGTACGGTAGACCATATCAGATGTTATCCAATGTGCCAATGCTTCAGAAAGCAAATGACAAGATAATGGTAAAATGATTGGTTAATCAGTGTTCACTATGGACCATCAATAGAGTAGAATATCGGCGTGTGGTAACGTCTGTTAACACGCATACACGGGGTGTAAAATATGCAAAAAGTATTCTCAAGAAATGTGAACAAATAAACAGCAACGCGTTTAACTTAGTGTTGCAAAGTTAAAAGCAAAAGCGCTGCATCACAAAATTGTCAGTACATGAAACTTTCCCACGGTCACTGGTTAACAGCGAATGGATAAAAGCTCTGTGATATAGTTTTTCAAAGACAGACCGAATGAAACTTTTTAATTTGTGCGGAAAGCGGTTCGCAGAAAGAGCATTCCAAAAACGGAAGCAAGATGTTGCCCCCTTATCGCGCTGATTCCCATTTGCACTGACATAAAAGTTCCTGTAGAAGGTTGCAAGTTCATAGTTGGTGATGCCATTGTTGACGTAATAAAATGTTTTAGGCATAGGCGTGAATGTACTCATTAGCTGAGAAATAATGTAAAATAGATGTACGCCAAACCAGCTGTTTCGGCAACGTATACACAGCAGATTAATATATTTGCGGGTTTGTTTATTGTTCTAGAGAGGGTCTGCATCATAATGGATACGGATGTTTTCCACCAGTCTCTGAATCAGATCACCACAGATTTATCCTACAGTTCTCGGGTTCATTTGTCAGATTACATGCAAAACGAGTTGGATTTCTGGTAGACGACGATGTGGCATTATTCCCGGGTGTGTGCTAAGGAGTGTTTCCTTTATTAACAAGTCCCACGCGATATTTGTGATAAACAAATTACTGAGATATCTTTGTGGTACTCTGATATGGTCAGCAACATATCTATGCTCACTGCACGAAATGATTGATGTAGCTAGTGAAGAGGCCCCAACCCTCATTTAATCACATGTTTTAATTCTGAAAACATCGCAAGCAAACTTCCGCCGTCGTCGTTCATGTCTTATTTCAATGGGTCTCATTAATTTCTTCCTGGTATATAAAGACTTGCCCATCGAAATGCTGAAAACTCTCGACAGGATAACATAGTCATTCGAAGGCGCGGTTTTGATTAAGTCTGAAAACCGGTGATAGACTATGCTCTCCATCTCGTCTGATTTCGAAATCATGGGAATGTGTGTGCTGATAAAGGTGGAAACTGCAACTGACAGTCGAAATAAGATAATCATCCTTTGATTCATCCGGAGTCGTTTGATTTATCCAATCAGCAACCGTAAATTCGAATGTTTCCGTGAGACTGTCACTTTGTGTCACTCCATTCCAGTGGAAAGTACGCCCAGAACTATTTGTTCACTACCTCACCCTCTTGGCCAGTTGACTTTTTTTGAGGAAGATTAGCTCGAGTCCGTATCGCTTGAGTTCTCAGACTTGAACACAGGGAGACTTGCCCCTTGCTATTTTTTGATGGTTTGTATCGCCTCAGCAAAAATAGAGCTTTTAATAAGTTAGTTCTGCGACTGAAAAACGGGCGTTGTCCGTTTACCCAACACCATCAGTGTCCATCCACTTGTTAGCGCAAGCTAACCTAACTCGGGGTGCCTAGAGTAAGATGGTGAAGTCCAGTTCCTAGTTCCATTGCGAACAGAGAACACATTGCTATAGGAGAAATGTTGGTATCTGAGCTAGCATAGATGCATAGGTGGTTGTGACCCAATCAGCAACCCATCGCTACGTCCCATCACACCCCCTAACAACGCAATGATGACGTAACCTCGATTGGTGATGAAACGGATGCAATCAGATTGCCCAGCTCAGCGAACAAACCGACGACCAGAGGACACATTCTGTGCAACCCCGGACTCGTATTGTTTTACAATATTCTAGCTACAACGAATAGTGCACAAGCCCTCATTGTCAACTGCTAGGCGATCAGAGTGTACAATTCCTAATAACCGACATATTTAATCCATCTGTCGTCAAGGAAAGGTACCATTGTAGCCCCCGTAAATACGGAGATATCCCGCCATTTTAGGAGGTCTTGCAACACTGTTATTTAATATTTCCCCTTAAACACTACTCCAATATGATGATGTGTCATAGTGGTATGACTCAGTGTTCCTCCTTGAGAGCCCATTGCCAAAGTACGGAATTTCCAGTTGCTGTGATCCTATGCACGTGACACACGAACCCATAGTGCACTATCTACCATTCACATAAGTGATTCTGTCCACCCCAAGGCTGTCAACTGACACGTTTATTTGCATTGTTTGAAGAACTGCCAGAGGTTAATGACACAACGAGTATATTCTGGTGAGTCCGAAAACAAGTAGACCGGTGATCTTAGTTACTGTTTTGTCAACACGTCCGTTTACCAGAGAGTCCGCTGGTAGAGTTTACAGGAAGATGCCAAGAAAAGATTTGAAATGAAGTGCGTGAAATAGTTATTTTTGACATGTGCGGAATGTCCATCGTATCAGAGAGAAGTTAGCAGTATAAACTAGGCCCAGAGGGGGGTATTTTTTAAAGAATGCTTCAGAGTTTAGTTTCATGTAGTTGTTTCAAACCTTTACTGTATAGGCGGTGTCTACCAAAGTGTGTAGTAGTACGCCCACTGAACATCCGTAAATTCGTATAAGAACTTAAACATTATTCATACAAATCTAACTTAGCCTTGTGAATGGGGCCACGTGACAATTTATCCTTCCTGGGTATAATCTGGCTGGGCATGTCGAGTAAGCTTTACACCAATCGGCTTTATGATGGAGTGCGCAGTCCTCACGTTTTTACAATATTGCGCCGACAGCATTCGAGCGCAGGTTGAAAAAAATCCGGTTAAGCAGGGCCGGACAAATTTGTTGTTCAAGTCAACTGAAAAAGGATAAGTTGATTTTGAAGGAGCCCCTGACTACTAACGAGCCAACGCCGCTTCAAAAACAATGCATACACATAAAACGAAATTGGATGGCAAATACAGTGACATAAACTAAGCTCGTGCTACAGACGAGTCTTCGGCGCGGCACAAATATGATCAACCCACAGTATTAAAGGAATCATCCGCAGTAATTTCGTATTCCCTTTCATTTACGGACAGCCGTACATGGGCGGAACAAACCAGCCTTCCACAATATGCACGACTGAAAAAACGCCGGTTTACTTTCATTCATCGGTTAATTTCAAAGGTTCCGAGGTCAGTCAACAATCTGTGTAAATTTCAAAGCAACTACCGCAGAGCGGTTATGTGGCAAGCGTAAAAGTTTCATGCGGAACCCTGTTGCAGAGCTTATATTAGTCGTGCGTTCACAGAACGCTTTCAAGCAGTGCTTCCTGTTGAGGTGGTATGATAACTAGAAGCTCCGCTCTTGATAAGTATACGTCTTAAAGCTGAGGAGAATGAAAATTAATGCTTTTTCAATTTCGGTCGACGAGAATATCCGGTGCGAGGTGGCAGAATATTCTACCGCGCCAAAATCTTATCACCATACAAATCTGGATACACCTGATGCTTAGCTTCTTATGGATAAACATTATATATTTACGTGAACTCACCTGTTCGAAAACTAACACATGTTCATAATGTTTGGAATAGGAGCGTGAGTTCAGGGTAAACTTCTTTCCGGCTAGTATAATTTTTGTCTCGTACGGTGTTAGAAGTGCACGCCACGATTGCTTCATATGGTTTTCGGTGGACAACAGACTGACAAGGTGACTGTGGATGTAAGAGCCAACCTAAATCAGAAGCAATCAAAGATATTCGCATGAAGCTTCACCATAGTTTTAGCGAAGCAGGTACACAAACGCAGTAGACAGTAACCCACTGCCTCATCTTAAGGAATAACTTCTGGTGATACATAAGTTTTCTACTGTTTGAAGTGAATAAGGAGGAGGACAATGAACGTGCGTTGTACACATTTTGTCAACAGCTTTTAAACCTGCCACAGAATACCTTTAAACGAACCAAATAGCCACGAAGTCACAAAAACGGCACAAAAGTGAATCTTACACACTGTTTTACTTTCCTACTGCAGTTGAATTAACCTCCATATATACTTTATGGACTGTTCTAAAGAATGGTTGTGCGTCTCTCAAGGTGATTCAATTGCCGATCCTAGGTTCAATGAACTAGGTTCCAATGACAAGGCGGGATGACTGTGAATCCATAATACTCAATAATGTCAGTATTTGATGTAACAGTAGAATGATAAATTCGGGTCGGCGATATAGTGATCCCTGTCCTAATGTTCCTCCTAAAGAGAAAACCATGATGCACTATCCTGGATTCCGTGTGTTTCTCTGTTTCTCTAATAATAAAATGTGGTTTCGGACAAAGTTGCCTCTCCATGAACAGTGTGTTCATAACATGAGCATGTGTATCTGAGTGCAGTTTTCATATAACATAAATAACCCGTTTATCTAACACACATAGTTCTTAGATCTCACAATGTTGGATTAGTACACATCTAACAGGTTAAGAAGAGGCACATACGGAGACAAAGAGCCACCACTGGCTGCTCATTTAAAAGATAGATAGCTGGTCTCCGATGAAGCTGAACTATTGTCCAACTGGAAAGTGTAAAATGTACGTTATAAAGTCGTTCTGACAGAAAAAATCACCCGTCGCAAATTGATCTCCATACAACGCAGGACTACCGCTGGAAATTCCGGGTCTTACAATGGAACAAATATTCTCCTAAACGTAAACCTCAAATAATAAATACAAGTCCGGCTCAAAACGTAGCTGTACATTTCTTCTGCTGTTTTCTGTTGGAGCGAATTAAATTCACGTTATGGCAACATGAAATAAGTGAGCAGCCTTGTTGCCAGGACTCCACTATATTCATTAGCTTCGTGCGACAAATTAATGTCACTCAGCACGATAACTGCAGTATATTCGTTTTGCCTTGCCTTAGGGGTTTAACTCAGTATCGATCTCACGGCCTCACTTGCTTACAGGTGAATTTAACTCAGTACATCTACGATATGGGGTACTATGGTGTCAAAGGCCATTCCTGCGAACTGAATCCGCTTGGTCTTGTGATACGTATCGCGTAAACCAGTCGCTCATGACCAGATGGCGCCAAAGCCCAGTAACCACAATGTTTTTTCACTCCAAAAATACAGTGTTGGGCTTATAGCCATCTGCATACGATCGTTATTCCACCCCCCCAACCTCATTATCAATAATGATGGTATCATCAATGGGCTACCGCCTAACTTGATTGCAACCGCAAACAAAGTTCAGTTAAACGTAAGTGAATGGAGAGTTTGATTCATAGGACAGAATTGAGTCTTCTATCAACTAACGCTTGTCAAGCAAATGACACCTGATGCTGGGTTCTGTGTGAGTATACAATCCAAAAATAAAGTATTTGAAAAGACATAGCAGCAAAGCGTATGAACACAATACGAGAAAGCCAGTATTGTAAATACTGCTACTATAAGTAGAAGTAATGATAAGTGAACTGAGGTACTAATGATCATGAAATGGTTCACAGTCACACCACTTTTGTTCGAACGGTCGTCCTCCTATTCTGGCGTGCTTATTCTGGTGAATGCACACCAAAGGGAAGCACTGGAATCGAGTTTTGCTCTTATTAGAGCTCATTAGCAGTGCCAGAACTTGAACTCCGGACATGTGACATGCGAGGCGAGCGTGCTACCGTCAGCACTTCAACGCACTTCGGACGCATCTGAATTCCACATCTTGAACAGGTGAACATGTTCACACTTGAGCGATCTGATTGGTGTGTCTGACTCATCGAACGGCGACCAGTAACTGCCCTAGTTGTAACGATTGATTGACCCGCCAGTCAGGACTTCCCAATCAGGTAGCGCGACACACGCTTGAAACCCACTAGGCAACTTTTTGTTTGCAGTTTTGAGGTTTTGCTGGATCGTGAGATAGTCACATCACCAACTGACCGTTCGTCAACTGCTGTTGCTGTGCGCAAAATATGTGGGCTAGCGTCCGCTGATGGATGCAAAACTGGCTCTGGTAATTCACCCTAGCTAAGTCACTATAGCTCTTACAGCAGGATTTACGTTAAGTCATGTATAAAATCAGATAATATTTTATAACGCGTGATAAATGCTCTATGACTGCGTAATACCAACCATTTGTCAAGACAACTTGACGTGGTCATCTTTTTCTAGATGTTGTGCCAAACTTTTGTTTTATCATAAGATTGTACCGAAATATTTGTGGCACTTTATTCATTCAAGTTTATTATTATCATCAACGCACTTCGGACGCATCTGAATTTCCACATCTGAACAGGTGAACATGTTCACACTTGAGCGATCTGATTGGTGTGTCTGACTCATCGAACGGCGACCAGTAACTGCCCTAGTTGTAACGATTGATTGACCCGCCAGTCAGGACTTCCCAATCAGGTAGCGCGACACACGCTTGAAACCCACTAGGCAACTTTTTGTTTGCAGTTTTGAGGTTTTGCTGGATCGTGAGATAGTCACATCACCAACTGACCGTTCGTCAACTGCTGTTGCTGTGCGCAAAATATGTGGGCTAGCGTCCGCTGATGGATGCAAAACTGGCTCTGGTAATTCACCCTAGCTAAGTCACTATAGCTCTTACAGCAGGATTTACGTTAAGTCATGTATAAAATCAGATAATATTTTATAACGCGTGATAAATGCTCTATGACTGCGTAATACCAACCATTTGTCAAGACAACTTGACGTGGTCATCTTTTTCTAGATGTTGTGCCAAACTTTTGTTTTATCATAAGATTGTACCGAAATATTTGTGGCACTTTATTCATTCAAGTTTATTATTATCAGTCTCATCGAACTGTTTAACTCGCAGCGAAAAAACAGACGTTTAGCAGTTTTTCTCATTGGCTAGTATTGCACTGTCAATTAACCTACTCTAGGTAGGTTGGCTGGTTCAATCTTGCTTAAAGGGCCACTCAAAAAACAAGTTATTTCTTTCTCTAAGCGTACAAAGATGCTGTGATTCTCTTTCACACTATGGCAAATGTGTAATCATTGAGGTTTCACTGAATTGGACAGATTACACGATAACTTCCTTCAGTAGCAACCACACTCATATGATATATTGATGAAAACTATTTACTTCCCATTGTCAAACATCTTGATAGGTCACCTCACCTACAACTTTACCAAATCTTCGAAAATATGAACCTTTTACTTTTTCAGTAGACTAAATACTGAATAGCCCGGTTCTGTAATAGCTTTTGAATCTGTTGTTATTGCTCCCAAAATCCCTCAAACAAGAATCATTTATCACTGTCTTTGCACACATTAGAATCGTTGTCAAAAGCTAGAAATATTCGGCCTGAAAGTTATCGAAAATATGAACTCACCAGACTATAAATTGATAAGCTTTAGAGCACGACATCAAAGCAGATGAAAATCTACATTTGGTTTCCGTTTATTTCCGCTATCCATCAAAACAGAGGTGGTCGCCAGACTGAATTTAATTCGGCCAAATTTGCAAATCTGGTCCGAGAAAGCCAAACTTGCAGATGTTATAGAATCAAATTCATATCGTTAGAACCCAAATCTGTTCATCTCAGACAAAACAATATGAATTTGCAAAAGCAACTGATTATTCCATGCTAGATTTTGTTCTCATTGATCGGCAACTCACATAGCCTAGAAGTACAGTAAGCTAAATCTTTTCGGTCTTCAGTAAGGTACGTGACTCAGTGACAATTCTTATGATTGTCGGGAAACACAGGGTACTTCTTGTTGCCCTACTGCAAAATCGCAAAGCGAAAGGTTATTGTTTATTGTGGAAATTGATATAGATAACCGAACATCCGGACTGATAGTATTCAAGTAACGGCCCAAGATGGTGTGACTGAAAAGTCTGCGCTCATAAGTTTATTTACATTACGGGTATTTGTACTTGTATATTTACGCCTTTATAATAGTATGCATATACTAACATGCTTGTTAGTCCCCCCTGGAATTGCGGTATGTAACGTGATTAGTTTTTTTAGTCCCCCTAAATTATGACTGAGTCGCAAGATCTTTGATACCTTACAGCGTTTCCTACGAAGTAAACTGGAACGAAGTCACGTATGTAAGATAAAGTGAAACAAAAGGATTAAAAGGAGACTTCGGTTGCGTACTAACCTATGGCCTCAGAAGTATCTTTATTCTCTGGCAAAATCGTTATATGATGTAGCGTTTGCTTCAGATGACAGGAAGAACTCTATTTGTAACAAAACAGTCTATATGTTTGAAATTCAATAGTGGTAATACAAACCGTATGGTACCTCGCTAACGGATGAAAGTGCAGTGTTTAATCGTCAGTTATTAGCGGTTTGTTCTTGTGTCCAAGTGGTGCAGGCCCGTGGGATTAAAATTGAGCTCGGTTCGTGCGGAGTCGTAGGGACCCAAGTGTCAATAAAACGGGAGTAGGAAGTTACCCGGTTTGGCCGCATACAATGGTTTTGCTTCCTTGGTGAAGACCACTTGTGAACTATCGAAAGCTATATTGATACAACAAGTGCAAGTAAACTAGCTTTTATCACCTCCATTTAAATTGAAACCAGTGCGTGATGACATAATTCAAGTATGGTTTGTGGTTGAACGACATTCTTTTTCTGCATTATAACTTGTTTGATAATACACAGAACATTGAGAAACAGAAAACCATGGGATCTAACTGAGCGATTCAGCCGATGATGCTAAACTTCTTGAAATGATATTTTTGGAAATGATATTTCCAGCTGACT